GATCAATTAATGGTTGTGAATATTATGAGCTGTCTCTTATACACATCTAGATGTGTATAAGAGACAGTCTTACTACAGTCAGCTGGGCATGGCCAAGTCATTGGGGAGTCATGTTAAATAATTTTCTAAGCCAGCAACATCTGGTCTGAGAGTGTCAATTTTGGTTATCAAAATGCAACATAGTTTAAATGTTTTTTACCTATGCCCCAACCATGCTACTGCTCCTGACAAAATTAATAAGGAATTCTCGGCCTAGAGAAGCTACAGTACCAACCTCTCAATATTTATTGCCACACGAATGTATAAGTATTAAAAGCTTGACTGAGAACAAATAACGATACCTTCGGATGTGTTATCCGTTGTTTTCTTCACTTCCTTAGATATAGTGATCGTGCCAGGCTGGATGGGGGACTTGGGAACAGGGGTCTTTGCTGTGCCTTTGATAACCGTTACACCCATTTGACTTCCAGGCTGCAGTGAAGCGAAGGTGGTCGTTTCAAGTGCTAGTTGTCGGGCCTGCAGGGCGTTGAGGACGGTTTCACCATGGCCAGCCCAATGTTTACGCCCAGCTGCTACACTGCTGTGTTCAGTATGTTGGTCATGCTTGACTACTGCATCAGCTACGCCAGTAGCTGGTAATAAAATGAAGTTTATACCCTATTTGTTAATCATCATCTTTGGTATTGATAACTACCATAATGCTACAGTATTCAATGTATCGCAGTGAAGTTAATGCTGTTTAGGTATTATAACAGGAAGGTTTTCCAAACTTAAGGTACAGTACCATCCAGAAAACATTAACCCTCCGCACGCATTTTTTCCGCATATGAAAATCGTGTGACACGCAGTTAATTAGCTAGTAATAGGACCACCCATACGCAGTCAACCGTTACGGCATTGAGTAATTCATGGTTTCAACGAACTGCCTAATGATTTTTACGTTCAACAAATTGGTCTGTGTTGTTTATCAGTCAGACAAAGGACAGAGCCTGTCTTTATTTCGGAACAATGCAACTGGGAATAAACTTGATACTTTCATGGATATGCTGGTATATCCACAGGCATCTGAAGTATTTTGTTAACTGTAGGCCTACTTACAGTATTTTCTGGTTTATATGAAAATTAAATACTGTATTTGTGTACAGAAATATAAATTGTAGGCCATCATTGTACATCATTGTAGAAATTGTAAGATCAAGTGGTAAAATCTTGGATCTCTTATTATCGATTAATTAACTGTTGTGAATATTACTTTAATAAAAAATGACGGTATGAGTGTGAAACTAAATCTAATGTTGTAACTTGTGTCCTCTGTTATTTTGTTATTATGCAATAAGAATAGTTGCTAATATTAGGCTACGATTATTCATGATGTTTTCTGTGTAACAACAGAATCAAATCATTTAACATGTTTTTTTTCCCTTTTTTTTTTTCACGGGAATCGACTGTTTGTGTGTTATTGGTCTTATCTTTTTCACGGGAATCGACTGTTTGTGTATTATTGGTCTTGTCGTAGTAAGAGTTTAAGAGCGTGAGAAAAGAATGATTCCATCTTTAATGAACATGTGTGCATTGCCTGTGCCCGCTGTAATCATCGTATTGGAAGCGAGCCAAAGTGTAGACGAAGTTTAATGAAGGAGGCTTCATAGTCCCAACGTTTTTCAATGAAAATTCCTCTCGTTCAAACATGATACTGTAAACACAGTACGATACGTTATTTCGGAACAATGCAACTGGGAATATTAAACTTGATACTTTCATGGATATGCTGGTATATCCACAGGCATCTGAATTATTTTGTTAACTGTACTAACAATTTTCCGGTATATATGAAGATTAAATATATATGTACAGAAATATAAATTGTAGGTCTACGTCATTGTAGAAATTCAAGAAGATCAAGTATCTCTTTTATTAGTTGATCAATTAATGGTTGTGAATATTATGAGTTTGAAACCAAATATAATGCTGTAACTTGTGTCCTGTGTGTTATTTTGTTATGATACAATAATAATAGTTGTTGATAAAGGCAACGATTCACGATGTCGTCTGTTTAACAACATAATTAATGATGAACAGTTTTTTTTTATTCACTGGAATTCTTAACAAAATCGACTGTTGTGTATTATTGGTCATATCGTAGTAAGAGTTTAAGAGCGTGAGAGAATAAAGATTCCTTCTTAATGAACAGTATTAAGAGTTTAAGAGCATGAGAAAAGAAAGATTCCTTCTCAGTTAAGGAACCACGTATACAATGTGCCCGCTGTAATCGTCGTGTTGGAAGCGAAGCCAATAAAGAGGTAGCCGATCAAAAGCACATGTTTTGCTGTGAAGCACATTCAATTAATCGAGGACTCTACCAAAAATTTATGGGGGAATGAATTTCGTAAAGTAAATTCAATATAATAATTTTCCAGTGGTCCCCAGTATCCCGGATCTCTCTGGAGTCTCCCGGAAATTGTTATGATCTCCCGGAAATTTACTTATCTCCCAAAAATTCAGTAGAAAACAAATCTTCCCTAAACAAGCAGGCAGCTATTCTGTTTTTATCTTGCCACGTTACTGTACTCATGGAGATATCCATGCTGTACTGCATAGCAGCAACGCGTGTCTACATTCCCTGAGTTGGCGGCGTTCAAAGAGAATAAGAGATGATTAACCTCGTGTTTGCTTCTCCTTCTGAATACTGTAGTATCGTGGGAACCTACTTACAGGAACGTTTCTCACTGAATTCACCGTTACTAGGCAACCTGCAGTACTAGTAACTTGATATTAGGCTTTTGCCTGTTACAGAGAGATAGCTTATGAATTAACTATTCCTTTTCCTTAAAATATTTCTTTATTGTTTTTATGCATGGCCTATATCTAGGCCTGTAATGTTTGGAACAATAGTCTAGGCAATTCATCTATTTTTAGCCTACTTGCCTACCTACCATACTTTATCGTTAAAACGTAGGCCTACTCTTTATACCAACTTCACTGTTGCCTGTTACAACTTACTCAGGCCAAGCTAACCATTGCATTGTTTCCTGTGTAAATATGCAATTAAATGACAGGAAATATATTTACACAACACAATGAATGAATCATAATGCATAGCGAGAATATAACTATATAAATAAAATTAAGACCGTATTTCGATAGGAATTTTTAAGCACAACTGAGTAAATGTACTACAGTAAGTACACGCCATTCACGTATTTCTTGTTTTTATGAAGGCCTATGATATTTATCAGTATTATAAAAGTACAAACACGGTTAAAAAATATTCTGGTCATAGCTTTTATTTCAAAACTACAAAATAAATACAGTACTGTATGTTAAGTTTAAAAACTTCATTTCATTTTTCAGTTGATTACTGAAGCTACCTTGCTGATAGCAGACGTTCCCAGTTCAATTGTAGCCGTAACCAACCTTCAATAAAGAAAATACATCGGTTATTCTGACCTTTATTTGCTTAGATATTTTATTGATACATTAATAGCCTATATACCGTATATTTTGTTTTCCGATCCTACATAGATAATAATGAGTAACCCTGTAAATAAATTGAAACATACTTCGATAGGAATTGTTAGGTGGTTATACGAGCCTATTTATACCTCCGAAAAAAAAAAATGTATATCACAGTTTTCTTTAAATTTTATAACCTGCACTACCGACTATTAGCGAAATAACTTTACATCTCAAAACTAACTCGCTCATTGTTCGCCTGACAATAGAGAGATCGGGCGTGCCGCGAATTACGTAATACTTTACTATCAACTTTTTTGACTCGCTGTCCAACGTGGCCCGCACTTATACCGCGAGTTCCGACTTTTAACAGGAAGTAGATGCTAAACAATTACGTAATGGACCACTTGCTGAATACGGGCGCTCGAATTTTCCACGATTATTTTCCGCGGAAATAACGCAGGCAATGGTAGGTAATATCTGGATGGTACTGTACCTTACATCTTTATTTTTGTTATTTACGCCACAAAGATTTCGTCTCCCAGAAAAATAATGGATGAATTTCAATTGGCTGGAGAAGGAAGATTACATTTTCTAGGAAACAGCAGCAAGTACTTCACAATTAATGATGGTGATAGGTAGGGCTTGCAGGGAAGTGGTTTCTTTAAAATAGTATATCTGGGCCAATGCCTACCTATTCAGTGCAGACATGAAGTCTGACATTTTTTTAAATATGAAAAATAATGCCTGGATTCTTAAATTCAATGCTAGGCTGACATTTTAGGAACATTATTAACAACATTTAGCTGCATTTGCTTGTGGATCAAGGTTAGGACCTGAATTAAAGGCTCAACTATACATACCTTCCATTCCAGAAGCAGTAATCTCCAGCGGCATGTTGTTCAAGGGAAGTGCTTTGCGGTCTCCTGCACCCCATTGCTTCCTTTTCTCAGGCTTCGTAAATAAAACAAATTAATTAATTAATTATTAGCATTAAAATCTGTTTATACTATGGAGTTGTTATAGTCACTATAACATTATACTTAAGAAGAATCACATTGTAATAGAAGTAAAAAGTAAATAATAATAATAGTAATACAAATAATAAAAATAACATTTAAATCGTTATATTTTCCTATCACCAATATAATAATAATCATAAATAAACTTTACTAAAATAATTATATGAATACGATATTCATTAACTTACCACCTTTTGATTATCTTTTTTTTTTTCGATTGCACTTGGTCTGAAATAAACATCAACAACAAATAAGTCAGGTAAAATGGCAGTAAAATGAATACAAAAAATCTACTTTCCCAGGCTACAGAGGGAAAAAAAGATATGCGGTACAACTGATTTTGCTGAGACACAAAAAGGGTATTTGACAAAAACAGTAAATGAGATACATATTTTTGAATCAATATACCGTATGTGCCAAAGCCAAGCCAAACCAGTCACTTGTGGCAAAAATCAATTTTTAGTTATTAATACAGAGTTAAACAATAAGATGAGAGCTATAAAATAATAATTAAAATCTGTTACGAAGCTGGAGAAGTTTAAACATACAGCTCTTTAAAGAACAATATTTGAGAAATTAGCCTAAAAGAGTTTATAATTTTGAGCATTTCTCAGGCAAACACCATCAGTAAATCGTTAAAAATTGTAGTTTCAACATTGAAAACAGCATAGCATGATATATAAATATATAAAGGTTAATTTAGTGTAACAACATAGATTTCAAAGATTTAGACATGTTTTGGCCATTGTCTCTGAACGAGCGACTGCTTTGGCTTGTCTTTGCCACATACCGTATATAGGCACATCATGACTATGTATGGCCACATCATGAATATGTATGAACACTTCAAGACTATATATGGGCATTTTTATTTTGTATAACATAAAAATTATTTTCCTCCAGACCCTGACTTAAAAAAAAATATGGATTAAAATGATTTATTGGGAAAAAAATTTAAAAAATTACCTTTCTTGTTCTTGTACTTCAACGCCCTAGAAAATACAAAACAAATAATTCATTGAATAACTTCATTAACCTTTGTAGAACATAAGCAATATCATTACATCCTAACGTATTCATATATTTTATGATTTTCTGTATTAACAGATAGTAGTAGTAATTGCACATACAATTACTATTATCATTATCAGTGTCGCCATCATCATCATCATCATCATCATTACAAAAAAATCTACATTAATTTTCTGCTCATGAATATAAATCATCATAAAATTAATTTTAAAATTAATACTTGCCTTATCACTGTGAATCTGTTTGAGGGCATCTGTAATTCCTAAAACTAAAAAAAAAAGAAGAAAAGAATTGGAATTGGATTTATTCGGTGTAAACAATAAGGATAGCCCATGAAAGTCTAGAAGACGACTTATTTCCAGTGGGGTCCTTCTGGTGGTGATTGGGCAGTACACCCGAGAAACAATCCCCTACTCTTTTCCGAAGAGTGTACTGTGTTCTTTAACGTACATATGGGCAATAAATGTACATGGGACCAACGGCTTAAACGTCTCATCCAAAAGACGGTGCACTATTGTAACTTGTATTTCAGCCCTCAAGCTGAAACACAAGGAGAGGCAGTGATGGGAATTGAACCGGGGACCTAGAGATTTCCACGGTTCAGCGAACACACATTGGCTACCACCAGATTAGCCGACTAAGGTAAGCAGCACTCTCGAAATAGGTGAAGAGCAATGTTCAATACACAAATATGGTATATAATATATTTGCCCATTGGGTGAATACAAACCTCAACATAACTGTGTTATAAGAATTTTAATCTTGGTTACTAATGGATCAAATATAGTGTTTAACAGACTAATGTTGGATGAGGCTAAAGCAAGGTGACCCCCAGCAAACGGTCGCACTATTCCAAGAAGACCACAATGCAACAAGGTTTGCTTTAAACAAATAACTGCCAGTGAAAATCAGCAGACAGCGTCGCACAGAGCATAGGTTGATTCATTAGCTGACAAAGTGTGAGCCAGAGATCCCAATTCTCCCGAGAATTGCGGGTTTCTCCCGATTTTTGAAGCCGTCTCCCGCCCTCCCAATTTTTATTAATATCTCCCGATTTTTTTAAATATCCCGAAAATTTCACGAAAAATGTGATTTCCACGATGTCATAGAGCAATGAAACAAAATTTCTTATCTTAAGCCAATATACTATGGCGCTCGCTCAGCCATAAAATATCTAAACAAGGCCAGGGAGTTGTTATTTAAGTTGTTTATCAAAATAACAACTCAGGGCAAGGCAGGCCTAGATCCGTGGTAGAACCGCCTTGTTTATCCTCCATGTTACGATCTTTTGCATCCAGTGCCGGCCGACCTCATTCAATGAGATGGATGTCAGTTGAGTAAATAAATTTCAACAAATAGTAACGAAATTAGAAATCACGTGGGAATGGATGGGGCCCGAAGTTTTCGCCGCGAAGATTTGGAACAGTATCGATGCATAAAAATTACCTTTTCTTTCAAGTAAGCTTCAGTTCTTTAATAACAATACTAAAAAAATATAGTTAATAGGTTTTGGTACTAAGCAGTCTTCCGAAAAATGAAGTTTATTTTAATATCGATCCCAAAATACATGTAGGGCTTAGGCCTAGGCTCTATCTGCAACACTGCAGGGTATGTACTCTATGTGTGTTGTGTTGGGTGGGCGTGTGTGTAGTGGTGGTTGTGACTCTGCGGTATTAGGCCTAGTTACGCACGTATAGATGGAGCCTTGCGAGGCAGGATTTAATGTTTTTTTCATGGCATTATGTACCAGTTCTTATAGGCTAGACATATATAAATGCTGACTTAAAACATGTAGTATGATTTACTAACTAAATTAAAATATATATATATTTTTATATTACGTGTGAATCTTGCAAGTTGCAGTTACCTTGCTAGAATTCTATGTTCTTTGATGAGATGTAATAAATCAGCCATAGCCTCTAACATACCAATGAACCAAGCAAAGCCTTGTTGACTGCTGCCAAGAACGCTTTACTAGCTAAATGCTAAATAAATAATAATATTTATAAATTTATATTTTAGGCCAACTGCAATGTGTAAACAAATGTAAAATTGTTAAATAAAAGTAAACAAATTGATGAAAATTGTTTGTTTTCTTCATTTTGTGTAATACTTTCATGTTGCACAGCGCGTTGTAAGGCGTCACAGCGCGTCGCTACAGGAGGTGATCGCTTCATGAAAAAATCTCCCTATTTTTTGGTTTTCAAACTTGGGATCTCTGTGTGAGCACTGTTTAATATTATATTTGTCAAACTATCTACAGCGTACCTTGGGCTACCGGCCCTTTGACGGGTTGAGCTTGAGCTGGAACGGCTCTGACGGCTGGCCCACCTTCTGCCATCTTGCGTACCTATTAATGCAATAAGAATTAAATACAACACACTTTTAGAAAGAATGTTCTCTTAAAAAAATAAATAAATAAAATAGGAGATTACTGCCAATCATAGAATTATTAGGTTGGTCTTTGCTAGGAGCAGACTGTTCTACTATTTCCAAAAAGTGTTGCATCAATAAATTAAGGTAAAAATGAGGGAGACAGAAAATATATAATCAAAGAAATAGTTATAAGAATAGATAAATGATATCATTCAATGATGAGGTCATAGATCGATAAGTTCATATATTGAAGAGGTCATGGATCAAACTAAAAACTGTAATTACATGTTCATCTCGATGTTGCTTTTCTTTCTGAAAAGCCTCTTGTCTTTTCCTGGCAAGTTCTTCTTTAAGTTTTGCTGCTCTCTCATCTGCTTGAGCCTATGAAAATTATTCACAAAAATCAAGAATTAACATTTCTGAGAACCAGGGTCAAAGGTAGATAGAAAGGGCAATATACAAATGTTTACGAACATAACTTCATATTTCACATTGTGTAGCATTTATGCATACGCAGTACTTGGCATAAATTACTACTTTCAGAATAGGATACGTGTACGTCTAAATTGAGGGCAGTATACAGCATCACATAGTTATAAATATAATAATTCTGGATTTACACAGCGCCTCATGTTGTCACAACCTCGAAGCACTTAACAACATAAAAGAAGTAAAAAAATAACCAAAAACTAATGTACAAATTTACCGTAAACTATTATGCAATATATTATTATATTATTTTCTATTTGCTCTCTATAGAGTACCACAGTCGTGTCGTCACGACGCTAGATGGCGTTCTCTGTTACGCCTGAATGACTGCATAGGCTTTCTGGAATAGGCATTTTAAAATCTAATATTTTACCATCAAAATGTACTAAAAACATAAAAGCTCGCATTATATTAGTTATCAAACACACATTTAATCATCAATTAAAATTTACAAAGAAAAAGTAAGATACAACATCCTAATAATTACATTAGAAATTGGGATCAATGGTTTGTTAGTTGCGAAAATGGCATCGGGTTGAACTCATTTTGCAACGATATCAACGGAATAGTATCACATGGTATCGTGACGTAACACTGTAGTACTCTATATATAATTTAAAGATCACAATAGAATAAAATTGAAAACATTTTTTATTTCCTGCGAATAGTCTGAACTTACTTTGAGGGCTTCAATCTTTTTCCTTCTCGCATCAGCATCAACCCTTGGGTCGGCAATACTTGCCTACACGTTAAAAAAAAAACAAATTGATTACTATGCCCATACTGAATAGATATGCACAAACGCACACACTAAAAATTGAAAAAAAAACCCTCTAAAATCATAGCAATAAAAATATAGTCCTATTTCACCTTTACCTTCACAGCGTCCCCACCAAATGCTTGCTTCTGTACTTGCCGACGCTCATTGTAATTCTGAACTCGTATGGCCTTTAACCTTTCTAAATAATCCTAGGGAACAGAAGATGTTCAAAGTTCAGCAATGATCAACATTTTATTATAGTGAATTCATAAAATATTCCAGTATTAACAATGACATTGACAGAGACAACATCAAGTACAGCAATATATACTTTTACATAACAAGGATATTTTGAAACAAACGTTGCTTGTTTGTTTGTTCATACTTATACTGACTTTCATATTACAAATACATGTAATGCTCTGCAAAATTGATACAGAAAATTGAACATCCACTTTTAAAATATATACTTATTAATGAAGTGGAGTTCAATAGCTCAGTGGTTAAGATTCTTGCCTTTTTTTCCCCTAATGAATAAAAAATCTCTAAAATTCATTTGGATAATGTCAATAATAATTACAATAACTACAATAATATTTTTTGGCATTTTCTTTTACCTGTTCGTCCTTGTTACGGAATGCATTTAGTTGGTTCGCTGGTTGGTTCTCTTTCTGTTTAGGCACAGCAGCCGGTTCCTACAAGACATAAATATTATCCACCAAGTTACATACTGGAACCACTATTCACAGTAGTTCAGAAAGAGTAGCAGTAGTAGTAATGGAAGTAAAATTGAAATTTTAATATTTATTTTCTAAATGCTTGGTACAATTTTCAGTGCTGGGTGGGTACCAAGTGGGTCACAATAAACAGACCATTGTCTGTTCTAAGAAAAATTACGAGTTCCTGGTAATCAATTGGATTTTATTTTTTTGTGTTTGTTTTATGAATTTGAGGAGCGTTCTTACCGCCCATCCCATCATCTGAGCATTGCCTCGTGCCTTGTTCATAGCTGCTTGGCGTTTCCTTTCCCAGAATTCCTGAGCTTCCTTTCCTCTATTGGCAGCATTAGCAGCAAATGCTCTGGAAAATGTACAGATGGAAAAAAAAAAATTAGATTTGTGTTTTTGAACATTGAATTGAAAAGTTTTTTTCAAATTTTTAAAAGTTATTAATCATACCAATTAATAATTCATTCATTCATTTATAATATATATTTAATTATTACATTTATACAACAATCACATAATGAATGTACCTAACAACTGTGTTGGATATAAAGCTGTCCAGATTATAAAATTTTCATCAAATTGTTGCATGCCTATATATAGTCATGGCTATATATGGTCATGATGTGATGTCAAAACACCATTTGGTAATCTGGATAGGGCTTAGAAGAAACAATTGTAGGCCCACCTGTTTTCAGCAGCCCTTCTCGCAGCCTCCGCTGCACTAGCTGACACTGGACGGTTGCGTATCTGCTCACTAATTTGCTGATTGTTAGGCCATGCGTTGTCCTCAGCCTGCCGTTTGTAGGCTATTCCACCAAATGCTGGCTCAACTTTTGCCCCCTGCTTTAAGTTGTCCAAGTAGTCATGGTAATGATCGTATTTACCCCTTTCTTGCTTGGCTGGCTGTAAAACAGTACCAATAAAAATAAAAACAAGGTTTAGTAGTATGATAAAAAGCTGGTATCTCTGGAGATCATGGGTTCAATTCCTTCCCGATTAATTTTTTTTTGCAGAATTTTATAATGGTCCATCTGTTACACTATAATGTTTTATGACAAATTTGTGATTTTATGCACATATATGGGCATAATGACCCATATATGAACAAATCACAGGCAGGTATTTGATCTTGGTATTCACTATATTGTTTATATTGAATCAAATTTTCAATAATTTTATATTTAATTACTTTTTTTTATCTGCTTATGATCTTTGCCTTTTGCTTGTTTTTATCAATTTGTATGTAGTTTGACAGAATGTTTAAGTTAAGTATTTGTGTAGTGTAGTAAAGAGAGCAAATTGTTTTGGTCAGGCTAACTGCCTATTCTCTTACCTGGCAAATGATATATATCTTGAATGCCAAATAAATATTATATTATCATTATGTACTTAAATTTGCCTTCTTAACAGATATACTTGTTTTGGGAAACCTTGGAGGACAATGTATAATTATATATTTCTATATAATGTTGTTTTCAAAAATGTAATATAATATGATCTATACGAGACTGACATATCATTATTGCTACAAATTAAACTCTACTCGGCCCCAAGTCAACTCGACCACCAAATCAAATTAGCTCATTTTCTATATTTGCTGACTTTGGGTCAAGTTGACATGGGGCCAATTTGACATGTGCTCAGGTGACCTCTTACAAGGCAGAGTACAGGTGAGTTTCTATGCTAACCTTCGGTTCAATGAAGGGTCTCTCCCCTCCATTGTCGTCCATTTTGGGTTCTTTTCTTGGTGGTTCACCTGATGGCAGCTTCTATAAAATAATAAGAGAATGTGTAAAGCCAAAATAAAGTCTATAACAATTGCTTTGTCCACACTATAAATAAATTTGTGTGATGTGCACATACATGGGCATGATATATATTACGTATTACACTCAGGCTACGTTCAGACTTGGAGATAAGCCTGGCTTGAGTTAAGCCCGGCTCAACGCTAAGCTTAACTTTGGCAGGCGTTCAGATTAGCGGGATTAGCCAGGGGCGAGAATTTTCATAATAATGAACCATAACCATCAAACGTGTTTCAAAACATTGCTCTTCGCGAAACGTACGCTCGGTCACAGCGTAAGTAATTGAATGCTGATTGGTCATTTTGTTACCTGAATTCAATGCAAGACACCCCCACAACGATTAAAGCCGGGCTTAGAAAAGTTAAACACGGTGGCACCCCAGACCTAGTTACTATAGCAACACAGCCCGATTTGAGATAAGCCACCTAGTTTAGACTGGCACGTGGATAAGCCTGGTGAGTTGAGCTGGGTTTATCCACCCAGTCCAAACTAGGCCTCCATATTGGCATATCACAGTTATTTGTTGCATACAATTTGATCAAGATTAAGGACTATCAAATAAATGTACATATAATTAAACACTGAAGGAAAAAGTAAGAATATTACATCATGACCATATATAGGCACATCATGACTATATATAGGCACATCATGACCATATATAGGCACATCATGACCATATATAGGCACATCATGACTATATATGGGCACATCATGACCATATATAGGCACATCATGACTATATATGGGCATAACAGCTTTTTGTCAAAGCAAAATTGATAGTCTGGACAGGGCTTTACCTCTTGTTCACTTGACCCTTCACCTGAGCTGAGGGTGGACTTCCAGCCTACTTCCCTAGCACGATTCATTCTGTCCATCTGTTGGTTAAAAACAAAGATCATTAAACTATGAACATTGTATATAGATGCTTTGATATTATTCTTCATACCATAAAATGTTCATTTAGGATTTGGGCCTAGTGAGTAGTGGCATTTCTTGGAGTCATGAAAAGGGAGAGTGGGCGGGCTCGATGATTAAGTGAGGGGGGGGGGTGTTAGGTTGCAAAATAAGATGCTATGAGGTGATTTTTGGAGGGAAAAAGGTGGAGTGGGGAGGTCGCAAAGTAAAGTGATATGAGGTAATCTTTCTGCTTTCAAGGGAGAGCACTAGCTTTTAGAGGGGTGGGGCATGCAACCCCCGTGCACCGCCTAGGTGCCTTGTAAAGCAATCCATTTACACAGCACACGATGACACGATGTTTTCAGCATTTTCTGCTGTTCGCATGCTCAGCGAATAATAACTGGAGTCTCTGATTGGTCAGATTACTTTTTGCCGAGCACCAGTTTGGTGATCTTTCTGCTTCTAACATTTTCAAGGGGGAACACTAGCTTTTAGAAGGGTGGGGCATGCAACCTCCGTGCACCACCTAGGTGCCTTGTAAAGCAATCAATTTACACAGCACACAATGACACGCTGTTCGCAGTATTTGCTGCTGTTCGCATGCTCAGCGAATAATGACTGAAGTTGCTGATTGGTCAGATTACTATTTGCTGAGCACCAGTTTCATTTCAAATATGTAACTATTCTAAAGCTGAGCGACACATCGCTCTCTAGGAATCACCATAAAGAATATAATCAGGTTTACTGTCCTGCCTCCATTGGTGCCTCTACTAAAACATTATTTTACTTTTAATCACTTTGGTATATAGCATTAACTGTATGTGATTATAGAATTGACGACATTGATATACGTTTTGCTTCCTTACCCGTTGTTTATCTGCAAGCTTCTGTTGACGTACTCGTACCTGTATGTTCTAGGAAGAGAAAAGGCCAGACTGCAAACACGTGTGCGAAAAATAATAACATTACACCATTCAAACAAACACTGCACGTCATGAGTGATTCTAGTGCCTAGGCCAGTAGCACAGAACCCCCATCGGGGAATGCTGGACAACCACTGGGAAGAAACTAATCTTGACATCAGGAAACGCTGCTTAATAAGAGCAATTTTACAGTATGTTGCGCCGTTTCCAGATGTAAATTCTTAAAATTTTGCTCACTACCACCACTATCATGGTGTGGCTGAGGTTAGTGCGAACGTTCATTGAGAAATCACAGGCAGTGCCACTTGGCCTGGGCAACCCCTGTCATCCATAGTTAAACACTTATATAGCATTCAATGGAGTATTACATAATTATTATATGATGATAATTAGAATTATATTATATTTATAATAAAATTATGTTTGTATATACTTATTCTCTTTCAAATATTGCACTCAATCATATTATTTTTACATAGTCCCAAAGTACATCAATATCCATATCAGTATTACTAGCCACAAAGCTCTCTCATAATACCACACAATGATTATTGGTCAGTCATGAAACAATGAATATTTGAATGACCACACACAGCACAATGAATAACCATCAAACAGCATATTAATTACACTACATTCTCTTCTCTTTGGTGATGTCTGGAATTGACTTACTTGGTTTCTTCTCTCCCTTTCTTTAGCTATTAATTCTTGCTTCTTTTTCTCAAAATCCTAAAAAAATCAAATTAATTCAGTAAAGTAAAATCACAGCCTACCTAGTATTTTACGGACTTTACCACTAAGCCCCACCCTCGGATATTGTTGCCAAGATCCCCACAAAACAACAGCGTAAAATGTATGCAAACACATTCATTTGTGGGGCAACACATGTATTTGTATCTCAATGTGTTCTTTGTTTCTGGTCTTTGTTTTTGCGTACATTGCAAGATTGACTGGCCATTCAGAATAAAACACATTTTTAACCCATCCGCTTGTGGTATTTTTCATTTTCTGTATAAGCGGGCTCACACATGTGAAAGTACATTTGTAGGACACGCCCGCCATATTCCTAGGCCTGTTCTGATTGGTCAGTTGTTAACTTTGATTGACACTTTAAAAAAATGTCCATTATTGGGTGTTATCCGAGCATACGTCCACCCTAATTATCAGTGTATTTTGTAAGCAACCCCCTAGGCTTATCCTTGGTCAAATACAGCCTATGGATCCAGTGTGCAAGACACCAAAGCACTATAATGCAGCTCCTTATGCGGCTAATATGCTACACTAATAAAAATCATACACTGTAAAAATGCGCAATACATACCTTATTGTTCATTATTTTATTACCTGGAACCCGCCTGAGGAAAGAATAACCAAACTGCTGTAATTCACCACGAAATAATGATAGTGACTGTTAGCTTCAAAATTATAATGAAAGAGGATGAATATTGATATACAGTAAAACGTCAATTTTACGAACCTCGATTTTACGAATATTCAATTTTTCAAATGGTCTTCATCGACCAATTATTACCAAAAAAAGTGACAATGGATATTTTTAAAAATAAAATAAAGTTTGTTGTATTTATTTATTAATAAATAGTTCAATCTTTTCTTCTATTTATGGTATAATAATCACTATATTAATGTAATAAACCTAACCAGAACAACGAACTACCAATGCAAGTGTCATCGGATTGAGCACACATGTTTACAATGACAAACAAGAGTGTTGGGGTCAGCAACTTATTGACATCGTGAAATGCATGTAAACAACTAGAAAGAACACGACAGAAAGGGAAATAAAACATACAAATGTTTGAATAAGAGTTAAAATAATATTCTGTTAAGTTGAAGAATGCCAGCTATTAAAATAATTTGGTATTTATCGAAGGTAAATTCAGTTAGGTTCTATCGTGATAAACCACGCTGCTGCACTGTTGGTTCGTGCTAGGCATGGCCACGGTGCCGTCAGCCTATCGGCGCTCAATGGCAGGGGATAGCTAGGCCTAGGTATTGGAAACTGACACCCGATCTAGTTTCCAAATTTTTCAATTTACGAACACCCCTTGGTACCAAAGAGTACGTAAAATGGACGTTTTACTGTAAAAGGGAGGTCAAAGGTTGAGTTTAGAAGTGATGGGACTCACTTTGCTCCAGCTGATGGTGGCTTCTTAGCTGCTACTGAGACACCATACTTAGCAGAGGGGTTACTGATCCTTACAGGTTGAACGGGCTTACGTACAGCTACCATCAAAGTTAAAAACAAAACAAAAAACAACTCAAACTTTCTAATTTATTCTACTATGTATTAGATCTGATGAAAACTCTCTAATACTGTAATAGTAATTATAAACATGCTTGCTATTATTTAATGCTTGTATTATTATTTGTTTCAGTAATAAACTGAGCAGAGAACACAGAAGAGTACAGGATGAGTGAATATATCATGTTGTTGTTTCAATCAAAAACTTCCTGTTATCCTCTTACCATCAGAGTATAATAACCTTATGTGCCACATGGCATGAAGATCAGATGTGATGTGAAATGTTAAATGATAAGTTAGCATAAAAGGTTTATATCACTGAATACTGAAGATGTATATTATTGTCTTTCATTAATTTAAAATGACATCTATATAAGAATGAACTATTAATGAACTATTATTATTATTATTATTATTATTATTATTTATAAATTTATTTTTATAATACTGTTATATTCTGTATTGCTAATGAAGAATTTGTTTTTTTTAAACGACATTTACTGCTCTTAGGACTTACGAGGAGCCATGACCGGTCTACCGCCACCAACAGATGGAGCACCAGGCCGCTTCCTGTGGAGGATTGTATGGCTAAACTCAACAGACACTTGCTGTAGATATAATAAACCAGATTTTACATATAGTAGTTATATATAGATGATGTTTGTTTGTTTTTTTACATGTTCGCTGCAAGGAACACAAGTTCACATCCGACAGGGTTCACTCAGTGTTTGAATGACGCGAGTTAATGTCCACGTCTGTCTAAACACTACTTTCATATTGCACATAAACATGCTGGCAGTGATTGCCAGAATGTTAACTCTAGTCCTGAAGGTTTGTGTTTCATTACAGTTGATGGGAATGATTATTATTATTATTATAGTGGCACCCTTTATGCCTTGGTATATGAGACAAAACCAAGAAAAAAGCTTGGCAGTCTTAAATGTGTAAAAAAAAAAAAAAAAAAATTAAAAAATTTTTATGAAATTAGAATATTTACTTACTGTTTCAGTGAGAAAACTCTGAATTCTTTTTTGAATTAACGGTTTTTTTAATATCGTGTTGATCGATGGCCGATCTCTGTATGAAAGAATAGAAATGTTCTCAAATTAATTTCCTTTTTGAATACTAACTGCATACTGTAGACAATACTGCTTCCTGATTGGTGGAATTCATGCATAGCCTAATTTGCATACAGGTGGTTAGCATTACAATATATAGTATTAATATCGTGTACCCACCTGGGATTACGTTTAAATAGCAAGGCGATCAAGTTCCTGAGTTCGTATGAATATCGTGGGGACACCGGTGGATAGGATCCACGTATAATCTTCAGTACAAGGTTTTTCATATTGCCAGCCTCAAACTTCAAAAGGGATAAGAAACAAAATCCACAGTAATAGTTATAAGTACAATAATTACTCTGTGATCAGTACAGTACTTACTGGCAATTACTAAGTACAGTATACAATACTTATTCAGTGACAAAGTAATAAGTACAATACTTATATTGCAAACTATGAGTGCAGAACTTATTTGGAAGTAAGTAGAATAATTATTCAGTGACAAAGTAATAAGTACAATACTTATATTGCGAACAATGAGTGCAGAACTTATTTGGAAGTAAGTAATTTAATACGTGATAAGTAAGTAGAATACATATTCAGTGACAATTAATAAGTACAGTATATTCTCACAGAGAATGTAAATACTTACTTAACATCATTGCTTATTCAGTTTTAAGTACAGTATTTTAATAGTCAATAACTTGAATTTTGTTCACAATACCATCGCTGTTCATTATTAATTGTAGAGAATTTTTTCTTACTGCATGTTTCAGGGTACAAAGTTCATATAGGACACAGCCGAGAGCCCAAACATCACTCTTGTTATTGTATGGCCGGTTCTCACAGATCTCAGGTGACAGGTAGTACGGTGTTCCTATACAGGTTCTGGCTAGCTCCATAGTACTGTAAAGATACAATAAGTTTTCAAGGTTTATATATTGTATAAGGTAGTGGACATACGCAAATTACTACACAGCATTTCGGTATTTAACTTCCCCCTGCGAATCAATAATTGTCAAATACTCTTAGCTGGTAAGAAACTTTCAATTGACACAAGGATGGCAAGATGTTGTGATGTCATACCTAATATCTAGGATGTAGTGATGTAACATCAAGTTAGTTGCACATACAAAGGTATATTTTTGTTTTTGTCTGAATTCAAGACATGGTTTGGGCCAAATCAAAATCCATGTTGTGTAGTGAATATATCATAGCATCACATTATCGCACAAACAAAACTCAGGTGACCATTTCCTTCTGTGAAACCTAGAACATTGTAGGGCTTGATCTCATAAAACATATCATAATTTTAAAAAACTGCCTACCAAGATGCTCTACCTCATATTCTGATATGCAAACTCACCTGTTTAAAACACGTGCAATTCCAAAATCACCTAGCTTTATAATTCCCTTTCTTGTCAAAAATATATTCTGTAATGAAAATTGTTAAGTAACAATAAGAATGAATAATACATAAAGGCTAAATTATATAACAAGTTTAAAGGATTAGTGTGCCCTTCACCCACAGTTTATGTGACAAAACCATATGACATGCTTGAATATGGTCATGATGACATCACATCATGACCATATATAGGCACATCATGACTATATATGGGCATACAACAGTTTCTTGTAAAAAAAAAAAATGATAATGATAAGCTTTAGATTTGTCCACATTATCAAATTTTATATGACAAATAACTGTGATATGCCCATATTTGGGTGTAATATGACAACACCATCCATAGTGGACAGAGCATTACCTGTGATTTGAGGTCTCGGTGCAAGATCTTGCGATCGTGTACATGCTTGAGGGCGAGGCAGATCTGCACAAACCAGTCCAGCACTTTGTCCTCAGTAAACAAGATTCCTCGCTGAGAATTGATTGCTTTATATAGATCACCTAAAAATATACCAAGATTATAAAAGAAATTTAAAATATATTAATATTATTTATAATAATATTTAATAATTAATATTAATATTAATTAATATTATTATTAAAATTTATTAACATTAAAAAATATACCAAAATAATAATAATAATAATAATAAGAAAAATTGTTATTATTATTAAAAATCATTAAAATGTTAATGTTCTCTCTTCCTTTCTTAAAAGACATTTCTCAAAAATAAGGGAATTAACTACTTTTGAGGTGAAGTAATTTTTACCCTTTCTTTTAGATTACTTACCACCATCACAGTAATCCATCACAATATAAAGATTTCCCACTTCTGAAAAAAAAAAATAAATGTGTCGTGTTTGCGGTATGGTTAGTAGTCTTTGGATGGAATGGTCATGAAAAATGGTCCGGTTACCTTGGGCACAACAGTAGTACTGATCGATGACCCATGGCATCATAAAATCTATCAAAGCCGGGCAGCACACACTGCGCCATACAATGGTTGTGCGACCGTCGTGAGACAAATTCAACTCTGCTCCCTATGAGGGAGTGCTAGAAGACTGATTGTCGGTGGCATTCTGAACGGATCGTCAACTGCGTTCTCCATAGAATTGCATCGCACGACATTGGAGTGATGAATCTACTCTAATCATTAAATCTAGACATCTAAATATTAAGAAAGATCAATCTAGAAAGTTTTTACCTTCAAAAGATTCTTGATAAGAGACTATGTTTGGGTGCTTCATTTGTTTCAAGACTGCAACTTCTTTTTTAGATTCTTCCCTTTCCTTTCTCTTCATCTGAAGAAATCAAAATAAAACAAAAATTATATTTATCCACATGACTTCTCTTCCAAAACAAGAAGAGAGACTCCTACCTCAATCAAGGTTGTGTCTTCTTTCAAATCAAGGCTGTGGCGCCCTCAATAAGGACAATAATTTTTTCACCAAATATCTTATAAAAACAAGTTAGCACTCTCAGCGATTACACGCATTACACATTGATGCGCCGATGTTCAGTAAAAAGAAACATAAAAAGTAATTTTTGAAAGAGGGTGTCCTAGTTGTTACCATGGCTGTTATGGAATTTGCACGCAGATGCGCTATATTTAGTTAACGATCTCTGATTTTAAAGTTGACATGTAATCACTTTTGCTAGAGGGCGCCATATACTGCGTTATTACAGAATTGGCAGAAATCACAGAGAACGTAAAACTTGTAATTATAAGATACTTGTTTATCACCAACCATAGGGAAAACTTTAACAAAAACTGTTGTATGCAAATATATATTTATTATGTGATTATATAATAGTCATGATGTGATGCCATCATTACCATATTTAAGCATGTCACATGTCTGTATGTCAAACAAAATTTGATAGCCTCGACAGGACTTAACTTAGGGCGTTTTTCGATTTGTGCGACGACGCGACGCTAGAACGGAATCAGTCATGCGTGACCATCCCACCTGGCGTCCTACGTTCTCTGCATATGTAGATGTTGCATTCCAGAATCTGCTCGACGAGGTGACCTTAACATTCTTGTATGAGTAGATGACTTTTAGTGACGTCATTACATTCTACGTCCTACCGTCGTCGTGGAATTAAAAGCTCCTTAATATTGAATACAGTAGGTACTTGGGGCAAAGTGCAAACGTCATTGTATGAATATGTGATGACATTTAACTTTATCAGATGTTTATTGGGTACAGGAAAGGCAATTGTAAATATTACTTGTTTACATAGAGTAGCATACAGAGTAAAATTTTGTGCAAATACTGTACCTTTGATATACTTATTTCCTTAATCACATACTCTTTTCCATCAGTCTTTGATTGCACTAAGAGCGCCTTGCCAAACGAACCCTCGCCGATTTTTTTTTTCTTAACATACCTATCCATTTTTCATCTATAAAAAAACAAGATATACCGTAAAACCTCAAATTGAAGCTCAGTGGGCTTAATCTCGAGATAAAGCCCATCTCGAATTGAAGCCTCCTCTTTAGTTTGCAAAAGTAGGATTGAGAAGAAGCCCTTCTCGAAAAGAAGTCCATAGGCTTTGTTTCAAGATAGCATAGGCTTCTTTTTGAGATAGTACAGTACAAACACTGTACATGAATTTTAGAAAACAAAATATAATAAAAACAAGCTTGGTTTATACAGTAGTTTAGGTGGTTTAATGTCATTTAAATACATTTCATGATGTACTGTAGATTGATGTTACAGTGACCTTATTTATTGTTTTATAGCACAAATTCACAAAATTTACAGCATTCATTTTGAAAAGAAGCCTCCCTCTTTACTTTTGCAAAAGAAAACTCGAAAAGAAGCCCATCTTGAAAGGAAGCCCATCCAAAGTTTGCAAAAAAAAAAAAAAGAAGCCCAGGGCTGCAATTCAAGGTTTTACAGTAAGAATCTCTACACAATCAGAATCAACAGGAAATTTGTTTTCATCATTTCACATTATGTTCAATCAGAGAGAGAATTTTTTTTTCTTTTACATATTGAGCAGTAGCCTAACCAATACCTACATGCATAAAAATTGTCTAGTCTAAATAATTGCAAACAATAGTTTTATTTAAAACACCTTGTTTATGTAATAAAACAATTGTATTATATGCAATTATTCAAACTAGATCTGTTATAATGCAGCAAATTGTATCGATTTTTATGGTACTTAAAATCAAATATGAAAATATATTGCAAGTATAATCTGCTTCAATAAGTTTTCATTCTAAGGGCGCTATCAAATCTGTAATGTAATGTAATTTATGACCTAGGCCTCACCAAATTCATAAAACAGCAGGATTTAGCTGAAAGCTACGTAGTGGTCATCATATAATGTCTGAGAAAAGAAAAAGAGAGTTGCCAAGCTGTCGTCAAGTACATGGGTAAGAAAAATGTTCTATTATATTCTACCGGAAATTCAATATACTTGGAGTGGAAGCCACGTATGAGAGCCCAGACTTCTTACCCACCTCAGCCCCACCACTTATTTATTCCTGTATTAGAAAAAAACATATAAAATTACAAACAGCAATCAAAGGCTGAAATGGTTTGTATATTACAATGTTTCATTTTTCTCGACAGATTTAACTATTGCACAACGGATCTAGGGCCAAGCCTTCCCAATGGATGGGCACAGGCCCTACCAACCCGCCCCCTCGGACCGTCCCCGAGTAATAAGCATGCAACCAATTCTGAGGGAATTTCTACAATTTAAAAAAACAAACATTAGTAATAATGAAATGATTAATGGTTCTAAAAGTGAAACTGATCCTATATTCACTGTACTTAAACAATACTGTATTAGTTCAGATACCGAGATACGTATTTGCTAACAATGTTGTCCTGCATCATACCACATGAATGGTTCTGAAAGTGAAACTGTTGATATAGTACCAATAACAGATACCAATATGTTGGTATTACAACATAGGCCTACTGATTTCTTTTATGATGCTTGAACAACTTCCAATGTATACAGCAGTAACATCTATGTTTGCATTTTTTATTAGAGTGCAAAGAGTTGCACTGTAAAGTAATAAGTGATTTATAGGTCTTGCAAGAATCACGAGGAAGTAAAATTTTTAAGTTTTAGCTTACTGAATGTTGGTGATCATTACATAATGTTGAATGAAATGCAAACAGAGTTAACAAATGTCCTTCAACCGCTGGGGTAAGATAAATGTTTTTATTATAGTCTAATTATTTCAGGATTGTATCTATGGAAAACAAAGGATGGGTGGTAGACATTTAAAGGGTGGGTGGGTGTGTGATAACATTTGGTAAACTCTAATAAATAAGAGTGGGTTTTAAGGATGGCCAAGCAGGTTAATAAAGGTAGGTGGTGGAGGGCCATGAAATTAGATTTAGACTGGGTGGAAAACTTCAAGGATGGGTGGCTCCACCCACCATCATAACTACCTGGACATCCTTATTATTTACTAGTTAAAAATAATCATGAATACTGATTTAAATAAAATTTTATCAAGAATAAAAAAAAATAGGTCATGATTACATAATACTTTATGATACACTATGATTCTGGAAAACTACTGTAGTGTTGAGAAAAGTATTTATAATTTAAGAATAACATACTCAAACTTTTATTATAGCCAAATATATTTTGAGTTAAAAGTAAACATGTAAACAATACTGATTTATGTTTTTAATTAGGAATAATGAGAAGGGTAATATTGTATGAATACAGTACTATAATATATATTTATTTATAAATACTTATAAATATTTATTTAAAAACATTTATAATATTTGTAATATTTATATATTTAGTACCTACCATATGGATGATTCTGAAATATAAAACTGTATAGAATGTTGAGAATGTACATGATTAACATTTAAACTTTTGTTATAATATATTTAAAGTTAAAAGTAAACACACAAACAACAATGATTAACTTTTTAATTAGGAATAATTCATACACCATATGGATGCTTCTGAAAAATAAACCATGTGTTGAGAATTTTATATTTTATGTACTTCATGATTTTAAACATTTAAACTTTTAATATAGTCCAATAATAACAACAATAATAAACAAGTATTCTTATACAATAAAGTCTCAGAGCACAGCACAATTCTCAAAGAACATGCGGCACTTCAGTTGTTTTTTTAAGGCATAAATAGATTTCTCTTTACAAATGAAAGGACAGTCATTCCAAAGAGCAGGAGCAGCAACAGCCAAGGATCTCGATCCATACTTTGATTTAAATTTGTTAGGTTTCAAGAATATATTCAATATTTTTAGCGTTAAAATTAAAATGCAAACAATACTGATTTTGATTTGATTTGATTTTTGGTAGTCCTTTTCATATTCGAATCGGGAGTCTCCCGAATTTACATGTTATCTCCCAGTCTCCCGAATTTCAGAAACTAGGCCTACATTGTAGTACAACCATCACATTTTTAACGTACGGCTCGTAAAAAAAACATGGGATTCCCACTGTAAAATACTGTAGATGCAATTACAATGCACATGAATGAAAAACCCAATAGAAGTTATAGCCTGAAAGACGTTAACGCTATCAGAATATTTCGATGTTGAGGGCGCTTTTCACTAAATGGTGGCGCCCTTCACCCGCAAGTTCTCCCATTTCCCGATTTTTTAAGGTCAAGGGGTTGGAACATCTGTATTCATGTCATTTCTGTCTATTTGATTGATTGATGAATAAATTAATTTGAATTTGAATTAGTTGGATGCTTACGAAAAAATAAACTATAGGCCTATAAGGCTATATAATCTTGAGAATAGGTATTTCATGTATACACACAGTACTGTACTCCATGATCAATAATATTTTAACATTTAATAAAGTCCAATTACTCAAGTATATAGTTGAGAATATTAAGTATATTATATGATGTAAGTTATTATGTAGATTCCTGGTTTCTTTCTAGCATAGCTATTGACCTTAGCCAGAATAGCAATAGTTTGTTTACATCACAAAATTATTCATATGCCGGCACTGGTGTTGTTTGTTTTTGTAGGGCCTTTCTAAAGAATAAAGAAAACAAGGAAAAAAAATGGTTTTCAGGGTTTATTTTTGTACAAATTAGGCCCTATCATTTTGGAATCGTCCATCTAATTCTAAATTTGTTAGTGGATGAGACTCTAGAGTACTAGGGGCCTAGTAGTTAAGTAGTAGGATTCTGAACGTAGGCCTAATTGAGATTGCTCCCTGACCACTAGTGTGGTGATCTCCCGCCTGTGAGTGTGTGCTTCATTCCCCTGCTGCCCAGCGGTAGTAGCTAGGGAAGGGCCTAGAGTGGTAGTGAAGTTTTGATATATGCCATCATTTATCAATGGCGATCAGAACATTTTCTTTTCTGTTTACAGTCTGGAAAAGCCCCGAGTGTCGGTACACCTCAGTATCGATTGTGTGTGTGTTGCCAACGACGCTCGCCATTTTTCACACCTGGAAACTGCCCTTGATCATTCTTAAAAATAAATACAAATCGTCAATTTAACTTACCCGCTTAATAATAGTTAATCCTCACAATGAAAGATACTACCAGATTCCTGAAAATATGATGAATTTCAACTTTCATAATAAATCAGTTAAGCTGCCGTTGGACGCCATCTTAAATATTATCGGTAGTGGCAAGAACGATGGGTAACTTTAGGAGGGTTGTAAACAATGGAGTGGCTTATCCTATCCAGGGACTAAACAAATTTGGTAGAAGAAATCAAATATTTTTCTCCTTTAAAAGCTTTGTAAATCAGTGAATAAAGTAATTTTATGTCATCATTTGTTGCCGTATTTGCAAATTTTAAACGTTTTGAAACCGATAAATCGAGCAGGCATGATTCATGAAAGTTGCAGATCCAGGTACGCCGAAAATTGTTATAAATCGTGTTGTACCGTTAACTTTGTTTATACTTTGTGTACTACTTTTTGTCATTACAAAATGGCTTCCTCCGCAGTGCGAAAGCTGCCGCAATATCTGAAAGAAATTCGCATTCATTTATGTCAACGATCTCCTTCTAGTCAAGGTGTAAGGTAAAGAAAATTTATTAATTCTTTTGCAAGCATAGTTGAAAAAATGCCGTTTATATGTTAACCGTAGAATAAAATATTTAGCCAATCTGTCTAGAGTAGGCGGTGATCGCTAAGACTAAGCTACCGCCGTACGTAAGTTTTTGGACCGTTCACGGGAAATAACCATTTCCCCTGCCAGGACCAAGAGCTTGAGAAGAGGCCTAGGCCTAGAGGCTTAGGTATACAAACATGTAATGGATACTTAATTTAATTTGATAATTCGATTTCTATAATCAAGTCATGAGAGATGGTGGTAATTAGGAAAGTTTTTATTATAAATATGAACAATTCAATCAGTATTTTAATTATTTATATTATTTTTTTTTCAGAGATTGGGTTGAAAAATATTATGTTGATCTAAAAAAACAAAATCCATCTTTCCCTATTCGTGTAAGAGAATGTAGTGGAATTCAACCAAAAATGTATGCAAGATATGGTAAGTAAATCAGGATAGTCTAGTTGCAGACTCTCCTTTCATAATAATTGATATACAATATCATCAACATTTAGTCTAAATGATGTTTAGTAGGCTTACAATTAAATAATAAAAATGGTTATCGTCACTTTAAAAATACAGTGTACCCCATACTCCAGTGTACTTAAAAAAAATCAAGTGAAATTGTGTTGTGCAAACAAAAATATACAAAAGAAGTAGTATGAAAGAATCATGAATTTTGGTATAATAATGTATAATAATAATAATAATTTCTTCTTTTTTTATTCACAGACTTTGGTAAGGAGACTTGTGCTGACCTTGGAAATATGAATGGCCAGCAGGTCAATGAAACCCTCTATAAATTTGCAGACTCTAAACCATAATGAAACTTTGTTGAAGATAGAACAATTGTACAGAAAATGTTTATATAGAAAAGACTTTACTGATGAATATCAGGACAATGGACTTTGTGAATAACAGAAATTAATTGCAGTTAAATGTGCCATAATTGAATGTGTTTCTTTCACTTTAATACCCAATTCTATATATATTAAACATAAATTTGATTAAACAACATGTGACATGACTAAATATGGTCATGATGACATCACAAAATGACCATATATAGGTACATCATCAATATAAATGGGCATACAACTGTTTGATAGTGTGCACAGAGTATTAGCTTATGTAGAGATTTTATCTGACAGACAGATTAAGCAAATTATTTGATCAGATGTTACAGTAATAAAGCTCTATTCAAATTTTAAAGTTTTATGTAAACATATTTCTGTCATTATGATATCGTCATACCCTAGATTGGGTTCCAGTTCCTAAACTTTGTCGTAATTAGTGAAAAAGCATGAAAAAAAAAAACGATTTTTGCACCAATGAGGTTCCATATTACTTACTTGCTTGGCGTATACTTTTCCCAGGTTTAGTCTAATTTGCACCCAAATTCAACAACCTAAAAAGTTTCTCAGTATATACCAACACTGGTGGCGCTCTCCGAAATCAGAATACCATGAAAAATCAATAATTAGAGACTTGTGGCAAGTCTACATCATACCCATATATGGATGTATGTGACATAGATTATGTGGTTTGGTCATGATGTTATATGGTTTGACTTCATCATCATGACCAAAGTACATAACATCATGACCAAGCCACAAAATGTCATGACCATACCACATAACGTCATGACGATTGCACATAATAGTGTTTGCACATAATCAAAGATAACTAATGGCCTTCCATAGTTGTCTTACACATGACTGTATTTTTTATGGCCATAGGCATGCAAAAGTTTTTTGTACTGCAGTGTTGCACCTCCACCGGGAGGCATGGTGGGCATTTATCCATCCGTCAGTCAGGCCTGGACCTCCCTGTCGTCCGACGCAAGACTAGGTCGTCGGATCAAAAATTAATAAAGATAGTAATTTGCCTATCTATATAACGTTTTCCCTATTACTGTATTGTGGTCTAAAAGCACATTTTGGACCATAAGCCATAAAAACTGTCCTTATGAACCCTACAAGGGAGTTTTTATTCTGGGACGTCGACCGATGCTTCGTCGACCCCTTTGCTTGGACTCAGTCAGACATGTCAGACCCCTTATCGGCAAATTTCTGGTGCCACCGCTGTTGTAGTCTGGATATAGGATTAAACCTTGTCCAGGCTATCAAGTGACATCACATCATGACCATATATAGCACATCATTACTATATATGGGCATACAACAATTTTACATCAGAAAAAATGTGATCAAACCAGGGATCAGTTTAATTTAATAATTTAACTGTTCCCTGGATCAAACATTGTTGAGTTTATTCCATCCGACAGAATTTGATCAAACATTGTTGAGTCTGACAGATAAACTCTGATAGTTATTAGCCATTTGGCTTGCAGCCAGTCATGTTAATGCAATGCATTGTAATGCTATAGACTACAAAACATACAGTAAACCCATGCCCAGACCATGAAATTATATTTGACAAAAGCGACATACCTAAATATGGTCGTCGTCATTACTGTATATAGATAAATCATCAGATTATATAACAGGGATCTTTCGATTTGTGCGACAACGCGAAGCTAGAACGGAATTACTCATGCGTGACTGGCGTCCTACGTTCTCTGCGTATGTAGATTTGGCCAAATTGCGTTCCAGAATCTACTCGACGAGGTGACCTTAACGTTCTCCAATGCGCAGATGACTTTTGGTGACGCCATTACGTTCTACGTCCTACCGTCTTCATGCAATCGAAAGCTACCTAATTATGGGCATACAACAGTTTTTTTGTCAAATAAGATTTAATAATCTGAGATTGAACAGTTGCCAAGACTGTTTTTGCATATTGATACTAAACTAATTTAACGTGTGGTGTTAATTTTCAATCTGATTCAACAAAATCAAGTAAAGTTTGAATTTAAAAAAACTATTGATGTTAATATTTTTTTATTTATGATCAGAAGTTTTACAGCACGTTGAAAGTGGTTACCAAAGCAGCGGTTCATAATATCAAAATATATCATTGGATTTTATCATTAAAGATAAAATTCCAAGACGCTTCCCTTTCAAATCTCAGGATCCTGTTCTCAATTTTTATACGTCAGTATACAGTTGGCCTAAGTCAATCAAATCTAAAATACCATTGACCTAACAATTGTTAATGGAAAAACACAACAATTTGGCATGTAAAATAGGATCGACTTGAAAATTATTTTATATCTTAGTAATATTTATTCAAAAAGTTCAAAGAAAATAAATGCAGCCATATTGGCTGAATTGTTATAATTTTAAAAAAAAGAAATGAAGACTTTTTCATTCCTGATGATGACATAATTAATGTCGAAATATTGAATCAATACTTGGAAGTATATATTATACTTTCTTAAGCCTGATTCGAGGATGTTTATCTGACCACCAAAACAATTCCACACGTGAAGCCTTGAGATTTAGTTTGTGTAAGTCATTGTCTTCTGTATACACTAAAAAAAATTTCCTTTCCATTTATATATACTGTATTTTTAAAATTATTTTTAGATGAAAGTTAATATGAACATGAATAACATATACATAAATAATTATAAATTGGCAATTCATTTCATTAATTTAAATTGTCACAAACATGATTAAATTTGAACATTAAATTGTAACAATTACATATTCACTACTCCTTAATGAAATATCGTTTTGGGTGACTTATGGTGTTCTGCTGAAGAACAGCAAAATTTATTGTGTTTTGAAAATTAAAATCATAAAATTAAGAGATATTTCTATCTGAATGAGCTAATTCGGCTAATTTCATAGAGATATAATAAATATAATTGTTTAATAGCTCTATGGCTAATTTATGCTTGGCCGCCCTCTATAGTGCCCTGCTGGATTTTGACGGCCAAAACAAAATGAACAAGTGAAGTGAAGGGAGAAAGGTGTACACGGACGAAGGAGATTGCTGAGTGAGCTCGTGAAAACAGTTTCTAACTTTAGGCATAATGAAAGAGGCAGATGAAAAAACCAAGCTCCTTTCCGGTGTATCGAAGTAAGTAATTAAATCCAGCAATAAGATCTATGTTTTTTTGGTTTTTTTTAAAATTGTTCTCTTCTAGTAATAGCCTACCCTCCTTGCCTTCGCTTGTGGCCTTTCTAGCTAGCTAGGCTAGGAGGCTAGGCCTAGGCCTAGTAGTCCTATTTATCTATGTCTGGGCCTATGCTAGTACTGTAGTAGTTATACTAGAGGCTATGCAGAGCTAATCGACTCCACAACGTAGGCCTAGTCTTAGAATAGACCATAATAGACATGGACCACTGTAGACGGTATCAGCTTTTGGTTTGTTTTTTGGGGAGCATGAAAGTCGCCCCTTCGTCGTTCGACAACACGGACCATTATCGTATTTTGGCCCTTTTATTCTGTCGTCAATTAGGCTAGGCCTAGACTAAAGAAAGAGCAATTACGGTCTTACTAAATTCTTAGGCCTGTACATAAATAGCTCGGCCTATGTTAATGCACTTGTCAATAGTAGTCCCGCCACCCCCTCCCCTCCGAACCCAGGGCATAGCGGGGCACTAGCCGGGACTTAACCCGGGCCGGCCCCCAGGATGTACAGACATAGTTGTGACCCCGTAGTGCCGGGACGTACCTAAAATTTACCTGTAGGCTGTAGATGTAATAGAAGGAAGAATTTTACGTGTTAGCTGCAGCAAGGCTGCAGTTTCGGATGTGTAGGCCTAGGGGGCCTAGGCATTCATTCAGCAGCAATTACTGTGTGTTGGTAATTAAAAAAATCGCCTACCGATACTTTAGGCCTACCATCATGGTTTCATTTTTTATATAATCACGGTATAAATTAAATAATAAATTTTGAACCTCCAACCACACAACGCTGAGGACCGAGGTGGCGGAGCGTGTGAGTGTGTTGCATGAAAATTTGTGAACCGTGAATGACCTAGATTGCGTCAAAAATACGCCAGTACATGAGTCAAGGCAAGGAAATCCGTTTCTAGTACATGGAATCATTATCTTATTAGGCCTAATTTTTGTTTTAATATTGAATAATTAAATTCTATCAATCAGTTAAATCAATCAATCAATAAAATCTGCTTAGTGATATGCATGTGTAGTGCTTCTATCAAGCAAGGTCATCTCCTCGATTCAAGTAAATCTCATCATCCAATCATTTATTAGCGAGGAATTTTACCGGGACTATCAGTAATTGGCAGGGCTTAGCCGGGGATGTACGTTAAAACGATGCCCCGCATTGCCGGGAGGTGGCCGGGACTTTCACATGCATGTAACCATTTTGGAAATTACAACCCCAGCTAAGTCCCCGCTAGGCCCGGGTCTGGGGGGCCGGGACTACAATTGGCAAGTGCATAATAGCAATGTATAGTTAATACTAGGCCTATTATTAATTAATTAACCAATTATAATATATTATTATTTATATCACTATAAAAGGCCTTTAATTAAGTCTTGTCTGTTGTAAATCCCAGAATGTTTTGGCAAAGACATGGAGGTAACATTTGCTATAGTTGCCTCTTAGCCTAATACCTGATTCACACGTGAAGTTAAATTTAACAAAAAGTAACAAATTGTAACCGAGCGATCTCCCAAGTTATTCCTACCGAGATAAAAAGCATTCACACGCGTCTGTAAGGTAATGCCAAGGTTGTGTAAAATTGTTATATCTGTCTCTTATACACATCTAGATGTGTATAAGAGACAGCTACTTATGTGATGCCATTAAGTGATTGTTAATATTTACATTGGCAGACTTGTTGGTTATGTAATAAGGTCATCTGATATAGAATTGATATCTCATCACATGACAGTGTTTAGTAAGGACTATCCTTGCCGATGATAATTTAAAGTGATCAAATTCTCAACGTTGCAGACAACTTACTTGATAACAAGGGCTAAAGCTCAACTCCTACTGTTGTAGAGTAGCACATGATTATTTCCTGTTCATTTAATACCAGGGACTTCCTTAACTGGCAAATATTATCACCACTTTATTGGTTTTTTTATTTCTCTTCTTGCTGTTTGTTAATCCTTTTCAGTACTATAACAAAATTTAAAACAATATTACCTAAATCCATATACTCAATCTGAATTTTTTTTTTTTTTTTTTTTTTTTTTTTTTTTTTTTTGCTTTTGTTTGTTTTTTATTTTCATTAATAACTGATCTTTATAAAATAATTTTGGTAATTTTTTAAAAACATTTTTATAGTATGTACTGTGATAACTGATGTATAATTTTATGTAAAGTAGGTAAGAGCAAGTTTGAATTTTTAAATTCTGATAGACCTATTTACAGTATGTATGCTATTTATTTTATTATATTTAAATGTGTTTTATGTTTATATGTTTTTATGATAGAAATATTTCTGTTTAAAATACAATAAACCCCCCCCCCCTCCTTTGGTACACCTTTATTCAATTTTCAAGTTTTTCTGCACAGTTTATTTCAATTATGGTAACATTGTAGAAATTGACAGTATGGAATAAGAATAAAAGACCATATTAAAGGTCAAAACAAGAAGAAATAAAAATCCATTTGTCATGTTCGACCTCAACAAAATATAGAACAAAAATGAATAAACGTACACAAATATACATACCAAAATAAATAAATAAATAAATAAGAATATATAAAAAAAATAAGTAAATAAATAACCATTGATACTTTAACCCATCCATTCCCAACTTTTTTTTATTTTTTTTATTTTTTTAGTGACATAAAAATAATTAAATATAATGTTTTCTGTTAGAGTAATACAAATTCCTTTGATAAGAATTGAAAGATAATAAAATGTTTTTCCTAAATAAGTGGTTATATAGTGTTGTGAAATTTTTAAAATAGAAAAAAAAAA